GTCATTTTAAGAGTCCATAAAAGTATTATTACCATAAAAGTATTATTACTATAATATTACTTTTTGGTAATATTTTTTCTAACACAGTAGCAATTTTATTTTATTTTTTTACATTTTAAGGATGTATTTAACCTTGTACTGAAATTACCTCATTTCCCATGTCTACGTTTTTACATGGTGCACCTTGAATGTGGCTAAGAAAATTACAGCTCTCGACTGAATATATAAAACAATTAGCAATTAGACAAGTGCACACTAACCCCTGCATGTCGTATTTAGCAAATATTTGGACATTATTTTGCAAATGATGAAACTCGGCCAAATTTCCCCCCAAAAAACAGGAGACTTAGTGTAGCTGTAGTGCTGTACATAGCCATAGGTTATTTGTGTTGTGTTAAAACATTTGCACGACTGTCTCTGTAAATATAGACTTGCTTCAATTGTGAAATGTAGTGTGATGATCTGAAGGACTTTTTAATGTGATTCGCTTCTTTAGGTTGCTTCGATTGGAGTTAAAGGACAAAACTTTTTCATGGTGATACTAATGGTGGTCAGCCTAGCTTCTTTCTGTGTGCTCTTGCACAGCTGTGCAAGATAGTTTGCAACCATCAGTTAATGTTTTCACCCCTGGACTGAACCATATTGGACTCCTTTACAATGCCTCTGTGAAGTTGCAATGCCCTGTTTTGACAAATTACAATTGTCCTGCTTTTCAATTTACTAATAGTCAGGTTAGGTGGAGCAGGCAAATAATTAGAGAATGCAATAGAAAGAAAAATCTGATTGTTTTTAGGTACAAAGATTAAATCTAATGTAATTTTTGGGCTTAATAGATCTTTTTAACATTCATGCATGTCTTGTTTTCGTGAGATTGGGGGCTATTTAGAAATCATATGGGGCTTGCCCAGGTGACAGGTTCAACCAAGCACTACCATAACTGGAGCCAGACTTGAAGCTGTACAAATCTGGTTCAGCATTCTGGATTTTCGTTTCTACCCACAATATTGATCTTATTTTTGACCTGACTAAAGGTGAAACAATAGGAGCTATGACCGGGAGTTAGGGGCTACAATTTGCTGTGTTTTGATTTAGCCATTCCCTTCAGAGAACTTTTAACCTTATGAGGCTTATTCTTTCAGACGAATTAGAAAATAATCTAATTGAGTGGAAAGAAGTGGTTTTGGGGACAATAAAAATACTAAAACTTTTGCTAGGGGGTATCCCCTCTACTTTGCTCAACATTCATCCATCCATCCATTTTTTTTACACGCTTGTCCCAAGTGGGGTCGTGAGGGGTGCTGGTGCCTATCTCCAGTTGTCTATGGGCGAGAGGCGGGGTACACCCTAGACAGGTCGCCAGTCAATCGCAGGGCAACACAGAGACACACAACCATTCATGCACACACTCACATCTAAGGACAATTTAGAGAAGCCAATTAACCTAACAGTCATGTTTTTGGACTGTGGGAGGAAGCCGGAGTACCCGGAGAGAACCCACGCATGCTCAGGGAGAACATGCAAACTCCATGCAGAAAGACCCCAGGACGGGAATCAAACCCAGAACCTTCTTGCTGCAAGGCAGCAGTGCTACCCACTGTGCCAGAATATAATAATAAGTAAAATAATATAAGGATAAATCCATGGCAAACGAATAATTGAACTTAGTTTTAGTGGATTGGATCATCAGGAGACTAAAGTCAGACCACTTTAGTATTTGTTGATATTTTTACAATGAGGAATAACAATATCAAATGCATGCATATTATAACATTTTGATTTCTTATTAAAAATCATGAAAACCGTTAAAAGCAGCATTTGAAGTAGTTCAGTATTTGGGCAACTAGTAGGAAGATATAAGGTGAGGCTGGTCATCCTTGGTTTGTAAAGATGCCAAGGTTTTATAACCATTGCTAAGTAATGCAATGCTATTATTGTTACTCTCACTGTAACTAGAGTGTGTTTGTAGTGTTCAAGGTTACCAGGCCTTGTTTCATTTATTACTTAAGGCTTTGTTAAACACTGCTAAAAGAAATGTAGATATCATATCTTTATCTTCTGCTTCTCCAGGACCAGGTCGTGGGAGCAGCGGGTGAGACTCCAGGGCCTTCCCTTATCCCAGACTCCTCTTCCAGCTAAAGATAAATCAATTTAAGATGAGCCACTGAATTTGGATGGACTTATTGCTTTTCCTGCTTATTCTTAATTTTTTTTATGGTGGTTGACAAACAGTGTTTGGTACCTTAGTGCCACTAACTGAACTGTTCTTTTGCTTTTGACTCATCTTTGCTCGATATCTGTGATGACACCCAACAGGTTACATCATACTTCTGAGTGGTCACGTGAAAATGCCAAAAAGACTGGAATTTATTTTTACTATTGTAATCATTTACATCAATGTAGAGCAATGTTTTTTTTTTACTATGCACAATTTTACAACATTCATACATTTTTATTTATTTATAGAGTACTTTTCAGTTGACATTTAAGGCAAAAAAAAGCAGGGTGTCTGGAATGTAAGGATTTAATAAAGGCTGTGGGTGTATGTAAAAATAAATGATCCACCACAGTTTTCAGCACATAGTTCTGTTCAGTTCAATTCAGCTTATTTCTATACTGCCAATTCACAACACGTGTCATCTCAAGGCACTTTACAGTTCACTGATATACAGTCACATTGATTCAAAGTTTTCTATCTATTGATTCCATCGACTTATTGACTCAAAGGCAATCCCTCACAATAAGCATGCTTGTAGCGACAGTGGAGAGGAAAAACTCCCTTTTAACAGAAAGAAACCTCCAGCAGAACCAGGCGCACTGTCAGCTGCCATCTGCCGAAGCCAACCGGGGTTCAAGGAGACAGAAGCAGACATTGAAAAAGCAACAGTTCTAAAACTGTGGAAACATTAGCTGCACTTGACATGAAAAGAATGATTTTTTTTTTTTATAAAAAAAACTTTTGATCATATGTCTTTTATTTATTCTGTGAGTTTAGATGTACAATCTGGTGTATGTACAGACGCGTCCTTCTGTCAAAGTCTACCTACTTAAATGCAATAATACTTTTCAAACAACAAAGCTGTGTTCGCTCATAGATTTTACACAGATGGCCAAATTTAGCGCTTTATTGGCAGCTCTGTGCGCTCTTTGTAAAGAAATACATTCACTCATTTAAACCCATTTGATGTTATTTTATTCTGGTAGTTGCATTCAGTGGCACCTCCAGAAATCTTTCATCGGGGTGGCCAGATGGGGCCACTAAAAATCTTGGGTTGGCACACTGAAACTAAAAGCCATAATTTCAGGGTTTGAATCTAATATTGTGGTAAACCTGCATGTAGAGATAATAAAGACTTAAGTAAGCACCTACTCATATCTTGGTTTATTGTGTGATTTTTAATGTTACGTCGCTGGCTGTGCATAATGGGATGAAATGCTAAACTGATGAACATTACTTTTAACAGCAACACAGACATACTGTGTAAGAAAGGGCAGCAAGACTCTGATGACCATGTTCTATAGATCTTTTATAGAGTAAATACTTACCTTCTCTGCCATCTGCTGGTATGCTGTTCTTCATTTAAAGAACAAAAATGCCATATCCAAGATAATTAATGTATGCAGTAAAATCACAGGTGTTCAACAGAAAAACATGACTGAAATTTATGAAGAGCAGGTAATTAGGGAGGCTGAGCCCATCTAGAATAATTACACCCATCCCCTACATAGTGAATTCTAGTTTCTACCCTTTGGTTCCTGTTTTAAATATTCACCAGCTCAGACCGATAGATACAAACACTCCTTTATTCCCTCTGCTGTTCAGCTGCTAAACTCTTCTGGGAAAAGCAGAT